ATGTAGAGATCTTCGAAATATAAAAATTGCAGAAAACGAAAAAAAAGGTGTGCTGCTGGATCGGTTTTGAAAGGCGAGTCCAACAGTATGATTTTTACAAAATTTCATTCACAACAAGATTACAGGAGCAAATCTCTACATATTAGAAAAACAGAATAAATGCAGAGCAGTTCTTCGTTAGATCCAGAAAATCGCAGATAGATTCAACATGTTTCACGCCTCGGCTCTAATACCAATTGATAGACCCAGATAGTTAACAATCAAACAATCTAAGCAGTTAGAAAAAGGAAAGTTGGAAGATATAATAGGAACGAAGGGAGTATATGTTTTTGGTAAGTTTTTCTTGACAATGCCAAATATAGTATCTAGAGGTAGATAATGTGATTGAAGTTGGTGAGAAAAACGTACTAAAAAGGTATGAAACCATGGATCGACGCCATTCTACGGAGCATATCCAGTGCATAGTACCGCCACGATTTAAGCTTTCATTTTAACAAAAATGGCGGACGCTGACAACGATGTTGTGACGGGACTGCCAAAGAAGAGAACGTTCAAGAAGTTCAGTTACAGAGGCGTTGATCTCGATTCTCTCCTCGACATGCCCACTGATGTTCTCGTCAATCTCTTCCCGGATTGACAAGGAAGCCACTCGCTTTGACTAAGAAGCTCCGGAAGGTGAAACTTGAGGCTCCAACTGGTGAGAAGCCAGAGCCAGTCAAGACCCACTTAAGGAACATGATAATTGTTCCTGAGATGATTGGGAGGGTGATTGGTGTTTACAATGGAAAAACATTCAACCAGATTGAGGTGAAGCCAGAGATGATTGGGCACTACTTGGCCGAGTTCTCAATCTCATACAAGCCTGTGAAGCATGGTAGACCTGGTATTCGTGCTACTCACTCCTCAAGGTTCATCCCGCTCAAGTAATGGATGGGTCTTCTATGAAGAGTATCCTATTGTAACCTGAATCGAATATTAAGTATGCACTAAAGTTTCGCCTCTAAACATGTTGCAGAGGTTTCTGTTTTGTTGAATTATGTGAAATTGAGTTCTGGTCTATTTTTTGCGCAAAAAAAAGGTATGAAACCATGATAAGAGGAAAGAGAAATATCATAAACTTTGCTCTTTTTTGGGTATATCTTGTTATATATGCATAGTATTGAAGATGCTTTTAAAAGTTGAGAAGAGTGAGTGTGAACACACAAGAGCAGCGATTAAATTAGTAGTTCCTTAGATTTCTCATTCAACAATCTTTATGCTCTTTTTTTTGAAAATTGTCTTTTTTTCTCTTGCGAAGGATTGGACAATCTATGCCTGGTAAAGATTTTTTGTTCCTATATCTTGGCCTGGTATGAAACATTTTTGTCTACGCCGGACATTTGTTCATTTCTACCTCCGTCACACTAACATTGAGACATGAAAAGATGACGTGATTATTAACAAAAGTGAATATATGTGGTTGATATTAAATTAAAAAAAAAAGTAAGAGAGCTAAAGTAAGAATGATTTGGAACCATACAAAACTTTACCGAATTCGGTAATAATTGATCTTAGTGGGACGGACCAAAACAAAGATGGGAATATATTAACGCGAAGGAGGGGTATAAAATTAGATTTTTCTGACCGATACTTTATATTTGTGCCTAATTTTAGAGAGAAAAACTATTGATGGAGAGAACTTAAAAGAAAAAAATTACCTCGCCTGAAAGTTACAATCCTAATTCCTAATAATGTCAAAGTTACATTATTCTTCTCTAACTAATGAAAGCCCAATTGTGACTCTTTCTTCTCTCTAGAGAGAGGAAACATAGCGGCCTCTTCGTAGGCGTTGAGATTGTCCGTCGCCCCTATCAATATGGGGTTGGAGTGGCAAATTATACTGATTTTAAGTGTCCTAACGCTTGAGATTGCAACTACGTCGTAGGAGATAGTGTTGGCGGATGAACGAATTGCGGCTGGAAGGTTGTATTGAGGATGGATCGTGAAGCCTTGGTCAGCCATTCTGACAGTGGTGGAGTTGGTGTTCACCCATATTGCAAGAGCTCATCCTCCTCCGGAACCACCTCCATACCAGGAAAAACTTTGTGCAAAAATTTTATTTCAGTATTATATTTAGTGGCAATTTTTTTGTTTTAGTCCGAGTAGTTTTGGTTTGAATGTTTAGATTTTTGGAATTCTTTTGATTGACAGGGTTTCAGACTCGATCATTTTAGACCTAAATTTGCCCGTTTCAGGTTTAGCGAGTCATGTTGTTTCGTAGGGGCGGAGCCAGGGATCAAGGTGGTCAGCCAACCCCGCTGAAAGTTTGAGAGTATAGAGCTCTGAAATATCTTCGATTTGATATATTACGGCTCCCGTAACTCATTATGAGTAAAAAATTATGACTTCTGGAAAATCAGCGCTATCTAAACGTAAAATCAGCAAAATTTGATGCATATCATAGATTATTTTCCCAAATTTTACAAATAGCGTATAATTCATTCAATACTTACGTGACACGACTCAGAAATAGAGCAAATATTATGTATCTTATTGCTACGAGTGCCTATTTATCTAAAATGCGTATAAAACATTCAACTCGGACATTGTTTAAAAAATGATCCACCATTTTCATTCTGTATATAGGTTAAGTTTCGACCCCCCTGAGTCATTTTTCTGGCTCCGCCACTGTTGTTTCGTATGAGGTGGCTAACTCTAAGTCTAGTCCTAGAGTTCACGATTGAATATGTAAATTTTGTCTAAAGGTTGTCTTGTATGTGTTCTCGATTTTAATATAATGGCCACTCTTTTATGATAAATACGTCAAAGTTGCAAAAGTAATGGAGTTATTAGTTGAATTGTAATAGTAATGGCCAAATTTACAAAAACTCAGACAATCAGGATGGCATGCATTTACAAAATTAGTTGACACATTTTAAATCTTACGAGACTAATATTACAAGACTAATACGCCAAACTAGTTTAGTGCATGATTTCTAATAGACATTTGCCTTCGGTTGTTTAGGAAATACAGAGAATTCATTAACTAATCAGTTAATTGTGAATATAACAAATAAATATTTACATATTTAAAACTAAAATAAACATTATTTAAAAATTGTGGTTTTTTAAATGTAATGACATAGTAGTAAATTTAGTCATAATAATTTACGTAGTATGTTTTATTTTTGTACCTAAGTGATCATGACACCACAATATTGCAACTTTTAATAATATTTTTGTAAATAAATATTATATGAGTAATATTTTAGAAAATACTTCTATAAGAAATGATTGAATCATCACCAAGCACCAAACAGAGCATTTTAGGCTAATTTGGAGATCTCGAATACAAATATTTGGGAAAATTCATTAATTAATTGAGAATATGAGTATCTGACATTAAATCGTTACCATGCAAAAATTGGATGATGATTCAATTTTCTTGATTCTAAGTATTTGTCATAAGCTCTTGAGTTGTCAAACACGCCAACTCGATCCAACCCAAACCGACCCGTAATGGGGTTTGCTTTATCTGACTATGTGAGTTTGATCGGGCCAACATGTATAATGAGTAATGACGGATCAAAATTTCTACAACCCTAACCCAACTCACCTAAGTCGCAGGTTAAACGAGTCAGTCTGCGGGTGAGTGGGAAAAAATATACATTGATAAGTAGTAATAATGGAAATATAAGAAATCAAAATACTAATCACCCAATACTTATTGACTTTAATTAAACAATAATAAATACTCCCTCCGTCCCATTTTATTTAGCCAATCTTAACTTTTCAAGTCAATGGAGTCTAACTTTGACCGATTATATGTTTATACAGAGAAAATATTAATAGTATGAAAATGATATAAAAATGTTCTTTGTTAAAAATACTATTATAAAAGTATGAAATTATTAAATTTTACATGAATATATTAGTTTAAATAATTGGTCAAAATTAACCACCTTTGACTGGAAAAGTCAAAGATGACTAAGTAAATTGGGACATACGGAGTACTAAGTATGGAGTACTAGTTACATCGAAATTTGAAAGCTATAAGAGTACATTTGTACAAGTAACAAAAATAATCATTGTATAAAAATAGAGATCTACTTAAATCTTTCGAGTAATTATTTGTAAATCATGACTGTGACATGTTAAATATTATATCAAACTTTATATAAAATATATGTTTCAACAATTTATTGAATACCGTTCAAAAAAACAATTTATTGAATACTCCCTCCGTATTGAAATGTTCTCTACACTAGCTTTGGACACGATATTTTAGGATACAATAGTAGGGTAGTGAATAGTGTAGAAAAAGTGGGAGAGAATATGTAAGAGTATGAAAGAGAAGATAAAAAGTAGATAAAGTAAAAGTAATTAAGTATTTTATAAAGGATAAACTTACCAAAAATGGAAGTGTAGGGAACTTTTAAATAAATTCCAAAAAGGAAAATGTAGGAAATTTTTAAATACGGAAGGAGTTTTTATTATAGAAATAATAATTATTCTGCCATGGTTGTAATTTTTAATTATAATTATAATAACGTTGTTAGTAAAAGAACAATATTGAAAATAGTAAAAGTCAAAACTATGGGGGTATTTGAATCTGATTCTTAAAACTGTTTTTGCTCTTTTAAAGAGCAAAAGTAGAAATTGAAATGCTCAAGTTATAGTGCAGAACTGCAGAAGTACTTCTGATGCTCTAATTTACTTCTAGAAGCTATTTTTTAGAAGCCGGGGAAGACTAGTTTCTAAAAATTGATTCTGATTCTACTTTAAAAAAGAAACAGAAGCAAAATCAGTTCCAAACACCCCACACGGCACACCTATACGTTTGTATATTGGTCCACGGGCCAACCCACAACTCGTGTGAGCCAACTCACTTAAACCCGCGACCCACGAGTTAAATGGGCCAGAAAATCACAACCCTAACCCACCAATAAATGGGTTTAAATAGGCCAACCCACGATTTCAGCCCATTTTGACAGTACAAACAATCATACTCCTCTCCATTTCCTTTTCACTGTGTTTTCCACTATCTCTCAAAATACTTTTGACAAGTGGGGACTACTTAATTAAAGTCGCATTTCTGAAGTACCAAAGCCCTCTATCACTCTATGCATCTGCAAAAATAACAAATTCAAACACCAGTTTGAGTTTTTGGTTTAGCCTAGACTTTCTACAGATGTTGATTCAAACCAAAACTAAACCCAAACAATTATATCTGCTTAGCGACTAAAATTACAGTAGTAACAACTTAAAAAACTATTTTCAGTAGCTCTCCCGGTGCATGTTACATTTACTGCTAATAATCTACATGTAAAACTTCTTCCGGTATAGATCATGAGCAACATACTCGACAGTCACAATCCGGTCATCAAAGATTCGGCCATGTAAACAATGTGCAGCCATGCAAGAAGCTTCTGCTCTTCTATACTCTATCAGAACACAACCAGGCTCAAATATATTTTCGGGATTAGTTTCATTTCCCTTTGCTTCATTTTCAGGAGCCTCTAACTTTACATGACATTCGTTGAACTCTAACTCTTCCTCAACAACTAACTTACTGTCCACTTCAAGCTTTTCTGCTGAACTCACAGTATCACCAGATCCATTAATAATTTCTTCTTGGGACTTCAGGGAACTGACACAGTCATTCCCAGAAACTACCATGGGACATTCAGAAACAGAGATTCCCATTTCAACCGGATAATCTGCATGTTTATCCTCAGTAGGACTGTCAACAAGTACAACCTTACTTTCAGTAAGGGCATCATTGTGCATTACCTCAACAGGTTCTATTATGGGGGTGCGTTCATTATCCTTTATGACATTAATAGATTTCACCGTACCGAACCTGTGGAATCAGATAAATTATTTTTTCAGAAATAGTGAACCAATTTACAGGAAGGGAGGTGATGGAAGAAGAACAAAGATGATTTTGAATTATGGACCTTGCACACTCCAGCCTTATATCATCCATCATTTCTTCAAGTTCCTGATCTGACAATCCCTTGTGATCGAACTGTGGACAAGAAAGTACGTAGAAACCAATACTAACCGAGTCATCAAAAAGCAGGCTAATGTTCATACGGAAAATAAATAGAAATACGGTCAGTCATAGAGACATACCATATTTTTCAGTTTCAGCACTTCTGTGGGGCTTTCTAAAAGAGGCTTAGCATGGTCAGGAATCCCATAGTAAGGAAGATTCTTAACATTTTCCTGAAGTGTATGGATCTTGTTGGTTAATAACACACCGACACCATGGGGCAGGTGTACATTAAGAGAAAAGGAAGGACCGCAATTTCTTTTTTAAATGAGAATTGGTTAAACACAGTACCACGAGCGAAGCATCTGGAATAGCTTGAACTACCGTTAGCACTTTGCCGCCTAATTTCATTCCATTAAGACCAGCACAAGCTTTAGCAGTAACTGAATGGTCAATATACTGGAACAAGTAGAAATATATGTTTTGTGATGAGAGTAAAAAATTGTTTGACAACACAAAACCATAAAAAATTCTTCCAGCTTCACATTAAGAAAGTGCTGCTTTTAGCTACCCGCCCCCAGGTGAAGATAATGAAGACATTGATACATTCTACACTTCAATTTGCAAACTGTAACTATTTCCTGGTTTATTTATTCCCCTACACTTTACACCAAATACCCATCATTTTTTTGAACACTCACATGCACTCCCCTTTAAGCTCATACTTATCAAACAACACAAAGTTTTGCTTCTTCCCTACAGAAAATATGCCCCAATTCTTCCTAATTGTCTGTACTTCTATCCCGGTTCTTGATCCGTTAACCTGACATGAATCTCATCCAAATCACAATAAGCATTTTATGCCGTTTTCTTTCATTGAAATCGTATCCCATGCCCAAGTAAAGATTTAGGGGTTATGCATTACACTAAACATCATGTCATTATCGCACTATGATGCATGAATTTTTCTGAATAGTGATTTTGTCCTTGAACCTTGTGCTGTCCTTTAAGCAAATAAAGAGTATCTAATGCATATTGTGAGTTGTAAGCGCCCTTTTGCTTGGCTGTGAGTTCGAAACAGTGAGATGAAAATGAGCAAAGACATTACAAAAACAGTCCAATAAGTAATGAATCTACATGGAGTGCAAGTTTGGTGGAGGTAAAAGCAGTGGTAATAGCGGAATTACTCTAGATGGTGAGGAGATATCGGTCAGCAAAATGTTCCATTACTTGGGCTCTATAATTCAGAAGGACGGTGAGTTAGATGGAGATGTATCCCATAGAATCAGAACAAGGTGGATGAAGTGGAAGAGTGCGTAAGGATTTCTATGCGATCGAGGTATGCCGACTAGACTGAAGGGTAAATTTTATAGGACAACAATTAGGCCTGCATTACTGTATGACGTAGAGTGTTGGGCGGTGAAACAATGTCAAAAGATGAGTGTGGCAGAGATGTGCATGTTATGTTGCATTGGATGTGTGGGCATACTAGAAAGGACTGCATGAGGAATGAGACAATCAGACAGAGTGGGAGTAGCACCTATTCAAGACAAGATGCGGGAGTCACGCTTACGGTGGTTTGGTCATGTGCGTAGAAGACCGAGTAATGCAGCTGTCAGATGAATTGAGATGTGTGGAGAAGAGGCAGGGAAGAGAGGGAGAGGAAGGCCCAAACAAATGTGGGTTAGGGGAGTCCGAAGTGATATGCTTCTTCTTGGGTTGGATGAGGGTATGGCTTTGGAAAGAGCAAAGTGGAGGGCGGGTATTCGTGTGGAGGAGTGATCCCGTATCATCTTTTGCCCTCATCTTTCTTTTCCTTGTTTTTTATCCTTTTATCCTTATATATATAAACATTATTTGTATCATTTTTATTTTATCATTTTTATGTATATTAATCTCTTTTTATATTATCTTGTTTATAATAGCTTATCTTTTTTATCTTTATTTTCTTTCTTTTCGTTTTGGTGGTGATATCACGTATCGATTCATGTTAGTCGACCCCAATATCTTTTGGGACTCAGGCTTGGATGTTGTTGTTGTTTTTGTTGTATGTTATCACTTTAATGAATAAAAATAAAACAATTTATTATAATATGTTAGGGTAATAGGAAGCAAGCACATAACAAAACAAAATGAAGCATAGCAATGAAAAGAAAAACAAAACAAACAAAACAAAACAAAACAAAACTGCCCAAGACACCTCATTTAGTTGAAATAATCCCAAAAAATTGCAATGAAGTATACATTAAATTGCAATCGGATCCAAATTCATTGCACTGCTGATAACACTTTACTTTACCTGCAGTGTGGTGGATTGTGTTTTAGTGTAAAAATTCCACCAGGGTCACCTCACCACCAAAACAAAGGGGACCATAAGGGAATGAGAAATTATATCCAACTCATGCGATAAAACAAATACCGCGTACAAATCCGCACCAAACAATAATTATGTTAGGATTGAGAAAATGTAAACAAATCATTTAAACAATTTAAAAACAGATATATTATGGATATAAATTAATAATCATAATACCTCAAGAAAAGCACAGGGTTCATTAAGACCAGCATTCAGCTCAAAGTGGTAGGCTTTCAAATGTCCAAAGGACTTAGCGATCTCCATAAGCTGGAATAGCAGAATAAAATTTATGCTCTCCCAGCATAATGAAAATGAAAAATGAAATTACAAATACTATTCGAAATAAACCTTTTACCAACATTAAGATTAATGTTTTCTTACCATATCAGATGAAATAACTTCCGAGATTCCACCAATAAAAATCTACAATTTGACTGGAACATTGTTAAAACATAAAGAGGTCTACCAAATTGAAAAACAGAATACATTTGAGATAATACGTAGAATCATCAAAAACTTTAAGAGTATCATGCACATGAATTATGACTTAATGTCAAAGAAAGACGTGCCCGTTCCGCTTACAGTTGATTGGAGCTAATCTCTTAAGAGCACTAAGTCGGCCCAAACAGGTTAACAGTTTTTTTAACACTTTCCTCTTTACAAATAGAGTACATAAGAGGTGATTCATATCTTTGTTATGATGCTCCAATTTCAGGTAAAATAAATCATTGGAATTTGCTATTGCTTACAGTCAAATAAATATTTGGATATCCGCAAATTACATGTGATTTAATAAACAGATGTTCTGTGGTACAAAGGAAGCATACCTTATAAGGTGAATTCATTACAGTACCACTCATCCTATCAACTGCAGCCTGTGAAATCACGCCAACACCAGTCTGCATGAAAATAGCAACAGTCTGAAAACCTGCTACATGAATAGTGACCACAACAAACCTCAGAACTTGCATATTAGTAAAACAAAGTGAATAACTCCACATGTAAGAGGCTCAAAGGCCATAAGCACAGATAAGACATGCTGACGTCAAAAAGTGATCACACTATATTTAGCATGTCCTAATGTATATTTTGAATGTTTTTTTGAATTAGAAAAATAAATCAGATACTTCAACGAACAGTTAAATCAATGTGTACAGGCTCTTGAGAAGGACACAAGAAGAAAATGTTAAATTAACTTAGCCATCTCCTTTTGGTCATTACGTTTTATGAATAGTCTAGATATTTTTTACCCTCCAGAAAAAGGACCTAAAAATTACTGCTGTGAACAAATGTAGAAGCAGCTGAGATGACTAATGAAGCAAACTGCAATTATAAGTCCATTAATTGCCATAAATCTTACTCCCACTTCAATGAAATCTTTAGGACGTCTAATTCTAAGAATGGAACCACTGATTGATCTCCCATCAAAGGAAAGTGCGGCAGAAGCATCCTCAGGTGTCAAAAATTCTAGAAGACCTTGGGCCTTCTCCTTGTGTATCTGTAGCAAATAATAGGATAAATCAAATGTGTTGATGATACTAGAACATATGAACATTAAATATATTACCCCCGTCCCATTGCTAAGTTTGTATTAGGTATGAAATAAGAAAAGTAAAAAATGTGTGGTTGAGAGTTGTGCACAGGAGAGAAAAATAAACAGAACCACAAATTATTTACTTTACACGGAATGTGGCCTCCAGACTCTTTTGGGACTAAGGATTGGATGTTGTTGTTGTAAAGGGAATGTGGCAAAGTTTTTGGGACAAACAAAAAAGAAAGTTGGCAAAGTCCAATGGGACGTAGGGAATGGGAGTATGAAAAAGAAAACAACATACCATACAGCTAATACAGGGCTTTGTCCCTTGAATACGGTTGGCGCCTGAAGACAGCAGAAACTTATTGATGCATTCCATAACATCTTTATCAGACACTGAATTTGGCAAGTTTTCAACATAGAGTGTTCTCAAAGGTCGTGTTGCTTGTGTTAACTGGACTGACTCAACAGCATGCACCGATGGAGAGTAACTATTTTGGAAAAACATGGCAGGTTTTGTTGCAAACAGACTAGCAGTACTCACACCAAATGAACCAAGTTTGTTCAATGATACAGACTGTGCAGATGAAAGAACACTACACACTACTGGTGCAGGAAAATTTCTCTCTGTTGTTGCAGGTGGGCGGTCCCAGCCAGCAATTCTCTTCTCTGGTGAGCGTTTAGTTGGAGATGGAGTTTTTGCAGCAGCTTCAGATTTCCTCTTTCTTGGTGAATAGCCACCAAGCCCACTTGTCATCCCTGCATGCCTCTTCAAATGACTAGTTTCACCATTGTTGGATATCTTATTCCTATCAGATTCAATGTTTGATCGTCCAAATTTATCTTTTGAAGAGTGTGAGTAGGATTCCCCCATATCTCTCATGTCATGTGATGAATGCTTGTGGGCCTTTGGAGATAGTGAGTGGGACTTTCTGTGATTGTCTTTGCCATGATCTGTGCTCCTTGACCTTCTTCTTTTATTCCTTAATTCTTCATAATGAGCTCGCTTTGAATCCTTCCTTTCGGGAAAAAAAGAAGCTCCTACTTTTGTTGATTCATGCTTTTTTTGTGCACTTCTGTCTTTAGCCCTCTCAGCATCTTCATTTTGGTGTTTTCTTGAGCTTTCCTTTTCAGAACTTTCTTTCTTTTTATCTTTATGGCCACTTCTATGATTTCTTGAATGTCTCTTCTCAGATTCATCCTCAGAAGCATTGTTTGGGAATTCATCACTTTTTCTCTTCCTGTACAGCTTTCGGCTGTGAGTGTTGTCCTTATCATGATGGGCTTCATTTCTTTCCTTCTCATGTGTTTTACCACTTCTACCAGCCAACTTCTTGGCCTCATCATTTGCATTTCTGTTACCACGTCTTTTTTCAGAATCATCATGAGACTTGTCATCTTTTCTCCTCCATCCATGAGGAGCATTATCAATTTTGTATCTGCTCATGTTCTTAGTGCTGGTATCAATGCTAACTGCATCTTGTTTGGTTTCTGACTCTCTACTTGCTTTCTTCTTGCATCTAAGGAGTTTACTTTCCTCATCATTACCTTCCTTCTTTCTTGAATTTAACAACTGAGAGTCCTTAAAATTATGCCTCACATTACTAGGTAAGGAAGCATCATAGCTTCTGTCAGATGCCAAACAATCATAAGTCCTTTTCACAGAGTTTTCTCTATCAAATGGAACTGCAGCACCAGCGATACTATCCTTGATTTCTTCAATGCCACTCTTGTTCTTCCGTCTAAGCATAATTTCATCAAAAGAGAAAGGTCTTGTCCGGGCTGAAGTTCCCTCGTTGCAATTGCTCTGGAATAATGTATTATTGTATGCACTCATCTCCTTTTCCTGATTGAATCGCCCCATAACTCTCTCAGTATAACAAACCAGAATTAAAAGTTTCCAAATATCTCAAAATGATAATGCTTATAAAATTAAACACTTCCAAATGAACTCCATCAGGTAATGACGGTAGAAATTACAATTCCAATGAAGCTCTTATATCCAGAACAAATAGCTGCATCCAAAACAAATAAGTTTATTGTTGCCATTGTCATCTTAACAAGTAACATCAAATTGTGCATTGATTATGAAGGAATGGTTAGCTCACATGAATAAAGTTTACAGCAATAAACATGGCAAACCAGCATTCTATTTACCAATGCATGATATGGAGTAAATGTCCACTGGACCACTGCAGTAGAAGATAAGCCTAAGTGCGAGGAAAATCTACAAATGACTACCAAGTTTGAAGATCGGTCTATAAAAAGATAATAACGATTCTAAATCCAGGGCATATTACAGTTTTCTTAAAGCAGACGTCCCAAAAAACATTCAGCTTACAGAAAACTAAGCGATTTTCAACCTTTTCTTACCGTTTAAAGTAAATAATCGCTAAAAACAAGATAATTTAGTACTATCTTCAGCAATCTGAACCGTTTTACTTTTCAGACATTTTTTCCCAATCACTTTAGTCGGTCATTTCTCTCCCGCCTATCCTTCACGAAACTATTTCAAATCCTCCGAAATATATGAAATAGTTTCATTGCCACCACTTAAACGCTGCTCAAGCCTAGTACCCCAAAATCTCTCTCCAATAACAATGAACAAGAAATAAAAAATTGAATAAACTCGATGAAGAATACCAGAAGAAATAGATGCATATCCTTGAATCTTTTTCGTGAGCCGCAATTTGCAACGCCATTCAGAAGTCCAGGAAGAAAGGCAAGGAAAGGGGGAAGAAGGCGATAGTAAAGAGCTAGCTCACACGAATTAGGGCTTGTAGTTTAACTTTTCCAATTTTTTTACTCGTTAGTTGCTTCACATTTTTTATTTTTTAAAACATAAACAAAATTAGAATCAATAGTTTTCGGAAGTTATTCTCCTCCATTTTCTATAAAAAATGCTTCTAAGAGTAAACTAGCACATTACGTCATTTCTTACGATACTTTTATTCACGATCCAATTAAATATAAAAATAGATTTTTTTCTTACAATTTACGTCATTTCAAAAATGGAGTATGATAAGTGAATATAAAAAGCATAAATCCATACAACAAATATTAAAAGTAAACAACATCCAAACCTTAGTCCCAAAAGATATTGGGTTCGTCTAACATGAATCGATACTAACAAATATTAAAAGTAAAAGAAAAATTAAAATATCAAAAAAATCGACATCATCCATTAAAATTTACTACGTAATACTCCCTCCGTCCCATAAAATAAGTCTCATTTTCCTTTTTGGGTCGTCCCAAAAAATTGTTCTCATTTCTCTTTTTGGAAAGTTTTGTGTGCCTAACATTTATTTACCTTTTTCTTATTCAACCACAACCATACATTTCCATTTTATTCCCATTTTCTTAAACTCCGATCCAAATTGAAATGAGACTTATTTTATGGGACGGGGGGAGTAATAATCAGTGTTGTTGGTAACAGAGTTAAATATTGAATTTAATTGTTAGAGTTGTGAAAAACTACCTTAAAGAGACCTTGGAATAGTAATGACTTGTGATTTTGTTTTCTTATCATGTACGTAGTATTAAAACCATTAATCCATGTTTTCTAAACCCTCTTTATAACGTCAAATATATAAATTTACATGACTAAAATTCGTCTAGGTAAGAATATTTTATCTTTTTGGAGTGATAGAGCTTGATATTTATTATTGCCATAACATTAGTGATAATTATAGAAAAATGTCTTCTCATAAGTTTAAAAGGTCATGAGAGAGAAAATATGAGATGAAATTCTCTCGATCAATTATTAGTCTGCTAATCTTATACCTAAAAGCATTACATATGAGAGAGAAATTATCCCGCTCAATTATTCTTTTGCAAATCTTTATCTTCTTATACCTAAAATCATTTCGTATGAGAGAGAAAATTATCCAGCTCAATTATCTGCACGTTAATCTTTTTTTATTATACCTAAAAGCATTACGTATGAGAAAGAAATTTCTTCCAGTGATCTTATACCTAAGAGCACCATGTAGGAGAGAGAAAATTCTTCCGCTAAAGTTTTAGCTTGCTAATCTTCTTATATCTAATAGCAATATGTATGAGAGAAAATTCTCTCGCTGAATCGTTAGCTTCTTATCTTCTTTTACCTAAAAGCACTACGAATGAGAGAGAAATTTTTCCCGCTCAATTGTTTTAGTCGGCCTGTCTTATAATTAAAAGCACTGTGTATGAGAGAGAAAATTCACCTGTATGAGAGACGAAATTTTCCCCTTCAATTTTCAGTCCATTTATCTTGTTATTATTATACCTAAACACACTACATATGAGAGAGAAAATAACCTCACTCAGTTATTAGTCCGCTTATCTTATATACCTAAAACACTACGTATGAGATAAAAAACTTTCATGCTCAATTATTAGTCCGTTTATCTTTTTATACCTAAAAACACTATGGCTATGTTTGGCATTCATAAGTCTCTACCTTCTAGCTTTTGTACTGTTCAAAAAGTCTCTAAAAGCTTCTAGTTATATGTTTGGCATGACAATTTTTAAGAGTTTTTCAAAAATTAAAAGATCTTTTTTGAGATGCTACAGGGATTAGCATCTGAAAAAAAGCCTGTGACTTTTAGTATTAATTAGTCCTAAGAGCTTGTATACCAAACCAATCTGTCAGCTTTATACCAAACAACTGCCACATTTTCTCTTTAAGATCTTTTCAGTCACTAAAAGCTAACAGTTATTAAAAAGCTCACAAAAGTATCTTTTCAGCCAGTTATTAGAAGATATTTTTTGAGATGTTACAGGGAGTAGCATCTGGAAAAAACCCGTGACTTTTAGTATTAATTAGTCATAACAGCTTGTATACCAAACCGAACTAAATCAAACAGTCAGCTTTTTACCAAACAACTGTCACCTTTTCTCTTTAAGATCTTTTCAGTCACTAAAAGCTAACAGTTATTAAAAAGTTCACAAACGTATCTTTTCAGCTAGTTGTGCCAAACATACCCTATATATGAGAGAGAGAATTCTCCCGCTCAATTATTAGTCCACTTATATTTATACCTAAAAGCACTGCATATGAGAGACAAAATTTTTCTGCTCAATTATGAGTATGCTTATCTTATACCAAAAAACACTACATATGAGAGACAAAATTTGACTGGTCAATTAGTAGTTTGTTTATCTTCTTATACCTAAAAGCACTACATATGTAAGAGAAAATACCCCCCCCCCCCATAATTATTAGTCCACTTATCTAGTTTACCTAAAGCAACTACATATAAGAGGAAGTTTTTCTCGTTCAAATATTAGTCCATTTATCTTCTCCTCTTATACCTAAAATTATTACGTATGAGAGATAAAATTATCCTTTTCATTTATTACTTCACTTATTTTAAACCAAAAAACACTACATATGAGACAGAAAATTCTTCTGCTCAATTATATGTTGTTACTAACCATATTGAAGTTGAAGACTACCTATTTGAAATGTTACACACTAATAATTAGATGATAAAGAAATATAATGTTGTAAAGATAAAGTTGCATCATGGTTGGTCACCATTCTAAGTTGAAATATATGATGTACATGATTGGACATTGCATATGACAAACTCTATAATTATGTGATATGTTCTTCAACGGTAGTGATTACCTGTCTGATGTGTGAAACACTCACACAAATGAAGGAGAGTGATCGTGTAAGGTATATTTTGATTTTGGTTAAAAATGAATTTAATGATCTCAATTTTTTCATTTATTAAAATCATGTACTACCTCTGTTGTTAAATAAATGCAACGATCAATTTTTCTCGTTTGCCAATGCACAACTTTAACCATTAGTATATTTAATTATCTTTTTGTAAAAAAAAACAGATTTTGAAAATATAGGATAAAACTAATTTAACAATATAGTTTTTAAAATAAACTATTAATACATATAAATAAAACGTAGTCAAAGTAGAATATGTGAATAGTGTAAAATTTCACATGCATGTTGCATTTATTTAAGAACAGAGGCAATATTACTTTTATGACACTATATTTAATTATCTTTTAGTAATAAATTAAAAAATTGAAAATTTAGGATGAAAGTAATTTAACAATATATTTTTTAAAATAAATTATTAATACATATAAATAAATCGTAGTCAAAGTAGAATATGTGAACAGTGTAAAATTCCACATGGATGTTGCATTTATTTAAGAACGAAGGTAGTATTACTTTTACGACACTTTAAAAATTGGATTGAATATAAATAACTGTTATAATAACTTTGGTTGTTCAATAAACCTTCATATTTTTTTAAATAAATTTTATATATACAATATTATTGTAATATGAAATATCATAAAAAATTATAATTTTGGATATATTTTTTGTAAATATTGGATCAATAAGGAAAAAGTGATAACACTTTAATGAAAAGGGGTTTAAAAAAGTGTAATTGATAGTTGGGCAGAGCAGAGCAAAATATGTTGAACCTTAAATTTAAAAGTTGGCAAATTTTAAATGAACGGAGGGAGTGATATATAATATATTCTATAATATACTCCGTAATAGAAAACTAAATGTGTATGAAAGAAGTATGTTCCCTATAAAATAGTTGACAAAATAGAATGTTATATTAATCGAATAGTTATATTTTAAGACTCATAAGGCTCAAACTCGGATGACGTAAGATATATACTCTCTCTATTCTTTTTTAATTGCAATGTTACTATTCTCACCGTTGTCAAAAATTGAATTTGTATTATGTATTATGTTAATCAGTTAAAGTAAACAATGTGAATATTGTTAAATTCAAAGTGCTACATTTATTGAAGAAATGAGGTAGTATATATGTAGAATGTTGTTGATGTTTCTTTGGTGAAACATCAATAACATATAATTAAAAATCACTAAATTAAATAAATTAGATTAGAAAATCACGTGTTTGACAAAAATTTGATTGATGAAGTTGATATCGCCAAAAGCAGGGTCATCACCGAAGTGGCCACGTGATAGAAATATGGAAGTGGAAAAGTTTTATTATAAATTTGTGTCATATGAAATATCATAAAACATATAATTTTTATATATTTTTTGGTAAAAATTGGATCAATAATGAAAATTCAATAACATCTTAAAGAAAAATAGCTTAAAAAATGACCATGATACTTATTTTGGTCATATATTAGGAAATAATTTGTTTAGTGGTTAGATAATATAAAGGTTGTTTAATAAACCTTATGATCTTTTATATGTATACAATATTGGTGTCATATGAAAGATCGTAAACAATTATGAATTTTGATACTCCCTCTGTCCCGGATAGAACTTGACGTTTGCTTTTGGCACGATAACTTAGAAGCTCAATTAATAGAAGAATAAATGTCTTGCATGCCCTTTGACTTTTGGGAGGATTTCATGATATCCACTCAAATGTAAAAAGTGAGGGGGTAGTGAAGGGTAGTTAGGACATTTAATGTAAAAGAAGTTGCCTAAAAAGGAAACGTAAAGGAGTAAATGAGACGTCCCAAAAAGGAAAGTGCAAAGATTTAAATGAGACGGATAGAGTATATTTTATTAGTACTTTTATTTTATAGCTAATGGGAAGCGGGTAGTATGAGAGTTATATAAAATAGAGTATGATATAAAATACACATCACTTAGGAAACAAAATGTGTACCAAAGAAGAATATTTCTTGTATAATATTGGCCTAATAGAATGTTATATTGTTAGTGTATTAATATTTTTTTATATCTGTAAGGCTCAAATTTTGTTGACTGAATATATATAAAGAGTTATTGATATTTCTTTAGATGAGCAAATGATTTTGAATTTTTTAAATATGTAGTATATAGTATTAAAAAAGAAAATCCTAAATGAAGTACCAATTAAATTGTAGCTGCTCATTTTTTAGTTAAGAATTAGAAACACAAAATTGCAGACTTGTAGATGTAGAGTCGTAGTAGCAATTATCATGATAGATTTTATATTTTAGAATTATCATATACGATAGTATTAGAATTAGAAGAAAAAACGGAGTGCATATAGAAAGAGTTGGGGCGGTTATTACTCTAGCTAGTTTTTTATTTTTATTATTACTCTAGTCGGCCTGTCTTATAATTAAATAAAAGCACTGTGTATGAGAGAGAAAATTCACCTGTATGAGAGACGAAATTCTCCCTCCCAACGGCCGGCCTTCGGCGTCTTTCTTGGAGTTCAGCAATTTCGGTCTGCGGGTCAACGCCGCTTGAAGGAGCTGGCGGCCGGTGGACGAACTCGAGCAAGACTTCGCCCGGCGAGGTTGATGTAAAACCTCCGGCTAACCCTCCACGCAGGTCTGTGCCCCTGCCCAGCGGCGCAGCCTTCCAGATCGGTTGAACTACTCCAAGGTCGTGGCATCTTCCAGGCGGCGGCGGCAGATTCTAGGCGGCGACGCCATCCAAGGGCGATGACATCTAGGGAGGCGGCTGTCCTGAATTCGATACATGGGCAGCCTGTACTAGTGATGAGTCGGCCTGCCGCTCTCCCAAGATAAGTCGGCACCTGTGATTCAACCGATCAATAGGTGTCATTGATTTGATTCTAACGATTTTGTAATGATGGTTTGTCATTGTTTGCAGGGTCCATCCAACATGGTTGGAGAACATTGGGGCATTGATCGTCTCCTGGACTTCCTGCGTGTGTGCGTGCGTCTTGCCCTAGGCAGCTAGGCGGCGAGGCGGCTGCGTGCCCCCGAGTCGGATGGCATCGTCCCCTTCTTGGAAGCCTCCGACCAGGAGGTCGGGCGACCAGTCGGTCGGGCGGCTAGGCGTCCTAGTGGCCGGGCGGCTGGGCGGCCGGGCGGCCAAGCGGCCGGGCAACCAGGCGGCTGGACGGCCAAGCAGCCAGGTGGTGAGGCGGCTGGGCAGCTAAGCGGCCAGACGGTCAGGCTAGAGTCTCTATTTCCCGGAGTTCCGCATTGTGTGGCGGTCGCCCCAGTGCTTTTCTTCCTCCGCCATCCTCTTTTTTTCTTGTTTGGCAGTGATGGAGACTATGCACGCGCACTTCACGCCGACGGTCAGGATTCAATGGCTGCAGGCATTTTCTGGGCGAACGCCCGTCAATGTCGGACCCTCGCAACCTTCACACCACCACCGACTGGGTTGACCTTCTATCAGGCTGGCGGCCAGAAGGTGATGGCTTCAGGTGATGTCAGTGGCATCAGGTGGAGGTGGTTTCCAAGGCGACTGCGCCTGGGAAGACGACATCCGAGATTGGCAGTGTCGCTTTCAGGTCGGCAGCCACCCGGGCGGTGGTGGGTCCAAGGTCAAAGTGCTGCTCCTCGGTGGTGAGAAGGAGGTGGGCGATCCAAACTCTATGGAGGACACCTTCATCACTGCATGGTTGAAGTCGTTGAGACCTTTGAGGTTGGTATCGACTATCCTAGTGCAACTGCATGTATCCTTCGCCCCCACAAGAAACGGACCGATTTAGGCGACTGAGACCTTCAACAAAGCATAGGTGCAATCGACATGTGTGGGCAGCATGCTGGTGCTCCCCGAATTATCACTGTTTTAGAGCCACATAGCTCCTTGTCTTTCTACTTGATTCTCTGATAGCCTTTTTTGTCCTATTTTTAGGATCCCATGCCCCACAGAGGTCCCCAAATGTGTGAAGAACCATGACGATGAGAGAGCCCCACGACCAGGAGCCTACCTTCTAGTTTGAACTTCGAAACATGTAAGGCAGGAGGCGCCCCTATCATGGAAACGTCGGTCAAGGCTTTCCCTCAGGAGTGCTCAGCAATGCAAGTTGACTGCGACATAGTACTTGGGCGCCAGTCGCAAGTTGACATCGACGTAGTGCCTGGGAGATGACCAAGAGTAGACCGACCATGGCGATGACTGAGTTGACTAGATCAGTGTATTTAATGGCGATGGGTTTGCCCGGCCATGACCCGGTACATTTTTGTTTTTTTGCTTGTAGCATGAAGTTGAATGATGTGACATCTGACTAAAATAATTTTGAATTCATATGTTTCTTTTCCTATACTTTACATTACGAATACTTTAGCAATTTGTTCGGGGATCCGGCTTCTCTAACCTCCCGGGGGCGGTTAGGCTGGCGTGGTCGAGCCCATCCGTGCCCCTCCTGGTCGGATAGAAGTGATCTGTTCGCTATTGATATGGAATCAACAATTATGCGACTTGTTCGGCCAGCGAGGTCGGACATTGAACCTGCGAGGAGGACCCTTAGGTCGGTATCATGAACGTTCATGACCCGGGGGTCAGTCCTAGTGTCACTTTAACCCGTCCAGTTTGCCCGGACTTGGGGAATAATCTGGTTACTCCCACTGGGATATCCAAACAACAGGGGCGGATCTTGCATGATCCACCAGAACGGACCCACACCGCCAACTCGGGGATGGCGAGAGTGCGAGCTGCTTGGCCAGCGATGTTAGGAGGTGAGCACTCGAAAGGACCCGGAGGTCAGCATCATGAGCACCCTCGACCCGGAGGTCGGCCCTACTGTCGCCTCGACTGTCGCGGCTAGCTCTTCACTTTAGAAAATTGCTCGGATTCTTGAAAATTGCTTGGCTATTTTCCGTTCAAGAGCCTGGCCGAGGTCGGCCAAATACGGGGGGGGGGGGGGCATATTACCTTTTTTTTGCCGCCACCCTTTATTGCTAAGTGAGGTCGGACCTCTTTTGAAGACAAAATATCGCTAGCAAAGTATATTGAATTCATGATGTGGGTGGACCACAAGAAGAATTACAAATTGTAATCCCGTGCTCGGAGCACAGGAGTTTACAAAAAAATGAGACTTCGATTCTCTACTGGTAAAACTTCATCAGGTGCTCTGCATTCCAGACGCGGTCTACTAGCCGGCCTGTTGTTGTCTTCAACTTGTATGTTCCAGGGCCGACCACGGTGTCAACCACGTAAGGGCCTTCCCACTTGATGGAAAGCTTACCTACCTCTGTCGGCTTGTTGTCCTTCTTTCGCCTCAAAATTTCGAGGCCGGGCTTGGTTGTGACACTCTAAAAATTTAAATAATTTTTTTTTATTAGTCAGATAAAATGTTAAGAAAGTCGAACAAAATTTAACATTTGTGACATGTTTAATCTAATAAAAATGATCCGATAATAGAAGTAACGTTTTATATCAAGTATCAATTATACATACGGTATAAGTAATAAAGGTTACTTTTTATAACTATTTTAAGTTGTGTATAAAATACATAAAATACAAACTTGATTTTTCTAAAAATACTTCTAATACGTAAAAAAAAACTTACGTAATAGTAATAAAAATATAAAAGACTCCAAGTAATACATTACAGATTTGCACAAACATACCATCACACTTATACTACGTATTTAACTAAAACTATAATGATTAGCACATGAGTACACTTTATAGTATTAAGAAAATTAAAAGCTGCTGCAAAACCCACGTACACAAAGTTATTCTTGAACCTGCAACTTACGGATAAGACCTACGGTTGAACAAATTCTGCGCGGATTAAGCTAATCGGATGGATGAAACCCTAAACATTAGAGACCTAGAACCTTCGACTTATAAGTATAAATAGAAGCCTTGCGATCAAGCTACGCTGCACAAACCCCTCGACCTACAACCTGTGTTGCAGGGAGAAAACGAGAGAAAAGAAAATGAGAATAAGAGAAAAGAAAGAAATATAGAAACGTGAGAGAGAGAGAGGGTGAACGTTTGGAAGAAGAAAGGCCAAACGTGGAGTGTCGGAGTTCGCCGGAGAAGGAAGAACACTGCAGGTCTCTGTCGGACGTTGTCGTTGGAGGAAACCGCTGGGCAGTACTCACTGTTCTACGCAGCCGCACCGGATCTCCAGTCTCGTCGCCAGTACAATCTTGCAACGCCAAGTGAGGTAACCCTCTGGAAACATACGTTATTAATTGTCTCGACGATTACGTAAAGAAGGCGGCCGTATCAATGTCTTAATACGTTAGAACATAACTGGGTTTATAATTGGTAATAATAATAACAAACATTTAAAGTTCGGACGTTTCCTTCTTGCTGATATTGGACCGTGCGACAGAAGTAATAATAATTTGTTAATAAGAATAGCACTGCTAATGTTAATAAGGTTAATAATAAACTAAACTAAAAATCAGACCAATTATTAGTATGTATTACGTGGACGTACTATTGAAATTGGATTATAACAAATAGTGAACGGACTAAATTATCATTCATGCACTGAGTTCAAAACGGAATGGTGAAACCAGATTAATTTGAATAACAAATGGATAATAATAATAAAATAAAATGGAGGGATTGTTAGTTATAAAACCAATGGCGATCTCTCGAGGTAGACGACGTTCGGAAATTGAACAATAATCAATAACAATTTGAGAAAAGACGACGTTCGAGGAAGGAGACGTTCGTCCCTACGAGGTAGAAGACGTTCGTCCCTACCGACGTTCGTCCTTAAATTAATGGTTGTTTAGCTTTTGCGACGTTCGTCCTCTCCGACGTTCGTCCTCACTAATATTATGAGTAGAGTAAATTAATGGCTGAATTAAAAATACAAAATGTGATTAATTCGAATAATTAATTAATAAAATTAATTAATAAGTTCGAATAATAAAATAAAAAGGAAAAAAAATTATTATTGGAATATAATAAGTGATTAATTATACCATCTTAATTAAAAGGTGAATATTTAGAGGCCGGAACAGAAGAAGAGAGATAAGAGCATCGGATTAGAGGTAAGTTCCATGTCAACCAAAATGCATTTTATCTCGTATTATATGTATGAATATGTATTTGTGCTATTTGACTATTTGTTGAGTGATTTATGAATAAGTTATGCTTTTGCTATGTTGCACTGTTGAATAACTTTGGGGGAAGTTACGTGAGTAGTAAACCCCTGTAATTTTTTTAGAAATTAATAAAGATGAAATGATCCTTTTTAATGTTAGGGCATCACGGGAGAAATCCGGGGTGTCGGTGTCCTCCACGACCTTGACTGTGGAGAGGGATTAGGGCTGCTATTACTTGTTACTCATAAAGAATTGTTATATCGGTGTCCACGACCATGACTGTGGAGAATGGTTATATCTTAGATTCGGGCAAAAGACCCTGTTATTCAGTAGTAGCAGTAACCTAGTCACTTATATATGGTAATCCCTTTTTGGTGGAGTAGGGGGACGTTGACGTCCGAACTACTTGGACTTCTTACTACCCGTAGGGCTTGGAATCCCTTTCAGGGGGTGTGCACACTTAAGGTAGATGTTCAGTTTCCTCAGGTTAGAAGTGGTACCGACGAAAGTCCCGGGGTGGCCGTACATAACAACGGACCATCGGGCTCAATAAAATGTTGAGTACCGCCCTTCAAATTTACTAAGAGTTTAATATAAATTACCTTTTTAAAGACATTGTTCGAGTATTAGAAAATTGTTTTATGAAAAGAAAGTGCGTATCATAAGTTTTACACCATGAATTTAACGATTAAAAGAAAAACTCTTTTTTTCGTATATATATATACTATAAATATATTATTTTCACCAAACCTATTATTTTACGGGGTTGGGTGGGGCTTACTTAGCATAAGCTAATTTTCGTGTTATTTGTTTTTTTTTATTTTCCTATGTTACAGATGATGTGATATATGAAGATTGATGCCTTGAGAGCGCCCCTAGAAGACTTTTAGAGTAGTCTCATTATGAATAAACTTTATTAAATTTCATTATTTCAAATGTCAAATTTAATATTTACTTTAGATACATTTATGGTGGTTAGCCTTAGCATCCAGCCAGTTGAGGGCTGGGTGTGGCGGTAACACGCCCCTTTTCCTTGTTATTGTTATTTCCGCTGCAAACAATTGAAAGTTTCGAATAAATAATAAACATTTATTATTTCTTTAAGTATTATTTTGGGAGGGAAATTTGGGGGTGTTACAAGTTGGTATCAGAGCCCTTAGTTTTCCTGAAGGGATGAGAACACGAGGTAATAGGTCGTAGGGAGAAATTCTGTCACAAAGACGATAACAGTCTAAGCTGGTTGGTGCATAATTGAGCCTTTGCGCTCGTCCAACTAACTGGGAATTTCTCCTTGTGCTGAAACTTCGTTGTTCGAAATTCTGGAAGAAAACTTTGGAAAGCATACCTTCAAAAAAAAAAGGGATTTCCAAAACATTTTTGTAAAAAAAAAAGACTTGGAAAAATAAATTAGCTAGGAAATAACCTCCTAGGAACGTGGTGAGGACTTTGTGAGTATTACTTTTATGTTAAATATATATTGTGTGAAAATTTGAGAATTATGGGCCCATATGTGAAATGGGAACCCCAAGTGTTGAACTGTGTTGTGATATGAAATGTGCATCCTACCTGTGAATATTTACACCTACGTGGTAATTATGTGATATAGCACCTTTGACAAGCTGTTTGACGCAATTCATTGCCCAGAAGAACAACGAGTTGGCGTTGCTGTTTATTACCTGCATGGAGAAGCAGATAAATGGTGGATTAATGTGGGACCAGGATTACGCGCACAACCAGACTTCACTTGGGAACGCTTCAAGCGTGCACTGCGGAAAAGATTCTACCCGCCACATGTGCAGGCGGAAAATTATGACAAGTTTCTGCATCTAAAGCAAGGGGAGATGACGGTGCAAGATTACCACTCTCAATTTGTCTCGCTAGCGGAGTTTGCATCATCACTAGTACCCGATGAGGAGAGCAAGGTTGAGAAGTTCATCAGGGGACTTAATTATGACACTCAGAAGGCTTTGAGTGTGCAAGAATGCCAAACACTGGATGATACCTATTATAGGGCTGCTAAACACTATCGGGTGATTCAACTCCAAAGAGAAGCTCACAAGAAAATCCGAAAGAATGAGGAGGAGAATAAAGCAAGGGAGAAGAGGTTCAAAACTCACCAACATGACCAACAACCTACGTGGAAGAGAGAAGATCACCCACAAGAGGGAAAGAGATTCCCTGGACAGGGTCCAAGGCAAGAGCAACGATACGTGCCAAGAGACAGGCACTACCATTGCAAGTTGTGTCAAAGAGATCACCCGGGGGTTGACTGTGATGGAAAAGTGGTGAGCTGTTTCACTTGTGGGAAGAGGGGACACCGAGCATTCGAATGCCTAAACAAAGGAAATGCGAGTCATCAAAACCAAAGGCCTAATCAAGGAGGTGCAAACCAAGGCGGAAATCAAGGAGGAGATAGGCCGAGAAATCACGACAATAACAACCGAGACCGTGATGCCAACCAAAATAAGAACCAGAACCAAGGCGCAGGCAATCAAGGAAATCAGGGCCGCATTTACGTAATGAACCAGGCACAAGCCAGGGCCCATGACGTGGTTTCAGGTACCATTCATGTTAATAACATTCCTGCTTATGTTCTGTTTGATTCTGGTGCTTCTCACAGCTTTATCTCTTCTAAATTTGTTGAGAAGTTAAAGATAGAACATGCGGCTAGCATAGAATTGAATGTCAAAACAGCAAACAATAGAGTGGTAGCTTGTAGGAATGTATACATGAATGTACCTGTAGTCATAGACAATGTAAATCTACCTGGAAACTTGGTCCAATTTGACCTCGAAGACATTGATGTCGTGCTGGGCATGGATTGGCTCGGGAGTTACAAGGCAAAAATCTTGTGCAACGAGCAGAAGGTGACCATGAAGAGCCCAAGTGGGAAGCGAGCATCGTTCAAGGCAATTGTGAACAAACCAGGTGTCAAGTTGATGACGATGCGGCAAATGAGGAGGTACATCCGGAAGGGATGTGAGGCATACCTATGTGTGATGAAGGAAACCCACAATGAGGAACAAACGGTTGATCCGATTCTTGTGGTCAATGAATTTCCCGACGTGTTTCCAGAAGAAATCCCGGGGATGCCTCCGGAAAGGGAGGTTGAATTCTCTATTGACTTGATGCCGGGAACTACACCTATTTCCAAGGCACCTTACAGGATGGCACCAAAGGAGATGCAAGAACTGAAAGAACAACTGGAGGAATTGCTTGAGAAGGGCTATATCAAGCCGAGCGTTTCACCTTGGGGCGCTCCAGTGTTGTTCGTGAAGAAGAAAGATGGTAGCTTGAGGTTGTGCATTGACTACCGAGAGCTAAACCGTGTTACCATCAAGAACCGATACCCTCTACCCCGCATTGATGACCTGTTCGATCAACTAAAGGGAGCGGGTATATTTTCCAAGATTGATCTTCGATCCGGCTATCATCAGGTGAGGATCGTAGAGAAGGATATACCGAAGACTGCATTTCGTACAAGATATGGGCATTATGAGTTCACCGTGATGCCGTTTGGTTTAACTAACGCACCAGCAGTGTTCATGGACCTAATGAACCGTGTATTTCGACCATATCTTGATACATTTGTGGTGGTGTTCATTGATGATATTTTGGTATACTCAAAGAACGAAAAAGATCATGAAGAACATCTGAGGCTCGTTCTACAGACTTTGAGAGAAAATCAGCTTTACGCCAAACTTTCCAAGTGTGACTTTTGGAAGGACCGAGTAGCATTTCTGGGTCACATCATTACTCGAGATGGAGTATCTGTGGACCTGTCGAAGATCGAAGCAGTAACCGAGTGGCGAGCACCTACTACTGTTACAGAAGTGCGTAGTTTTCTTGGGTTAGCGGGCTACTATCGGAGATTTGTGAAAGATTTTTCCAAGATAGCTAGACCATTAACCAATTTGATGAAGAAGACCACAAAGTTCCAGTGGACAGATGATTGTGAGAAAGCCTTCCAAGAGCTGAAGAAAAGATTCACGACTGCACCGGTGTTGACACTTCCATCGGGAACTGATGGATTTGAAATCTATTGCGATGCATCCAAGAATGGACTGGGCTGCGTACTGATGCAGAACAGGAAGGTAGTAGCTTATGCATCTCGACAACTAAGGGTGCACGAAGTTAACTATCCAACCCACGACCTAGAGTTAGCTGCGGTGGTGTTTGCCCTGAAGATTTGGAGGCACTACTTGTACGGACCGCCATGCAAGATATTCACGGACCACAAGAGTCTAAAGTACATATTTACGCAGAAAGAACTCAACATGAGACAGAGGAGGTGGCTAGAACTTGTTAAGGACTACGACTTGGAGATCCTATATCACGAGGGAAAAGCCAATGTCGTAGCTGATGCCCTGAGCCGAAAAACGGAACACACGAGCCAAGCAGCGTGGATACTATCAGAAGAGCTGTATCGGGAGTTTCAAAGGCTGAATTTAGAAGTCAAGGAGCATGGTGAAGTAGAGGGTGAGATTCGGTTATACACTATGACCATTTTACCCTCTATCTTTGATGAAATAAAGGCCGGTCAACTAGGAGACGTGAAGCTTGAACGAGTCAAGGCTGGGATGAAGAACGGGGTAAACGGACCGTTTCAGTTGCATGAAGATGGGAGTATCCGCTATAAGGGTAGGTGGTGTGTCCCGATGAAGTGTGAACACATTAAAAAGCAAATCATGGAAGAAGGACACAACACGCCCTATTCGGTACACCCGGGAGGAGACAAATTGTATAAAGATTTGAAGCAATACTTCTGGTGGCCGAGAATGAAAAATGAGGTGGCAGAGTTCGTGGCACGATGCTTAAACTGTCAAAAAGTGAAAGCCGAGAGGTGCAAACCCAAGGGACTCGTGCAACCCTTGGAGGTGCCAACATGGAAGTGGGACTCAATCTCGATGGACTTTGTCGGGGGTTTACCTTTAACAAAGTCCGGGAAAGATAAGATTTGGGTGATTGTTGATAGATTGACCAAGACGGCCAGGTTCATTCCCATGAATGAAACTTGGAGCATGAATAAGCTTGCGAAAGCGTACATTAAGCATGTGGTGAAGTATCACGGTGTACCCCGAGATATTGTATCTGACAGAGACTCCAGATTCCTATCTCAATTCTGGAGGGAACTTCAAGCTGCTATGGGGACCACTTTGAAGCTGAGCACTGCATTCCATCCTACTACGGACGGTCAGACCGAGAGGACGATTCAGACGCTTGAGGATATGGTGAGAGCCTGCGTACTAGACTTGCAAGGGTCATGGGACGAACACTTAGACTTAATAGAGTTTTCGTACAACAATAGCTACCACGCCAGTATCAAAATGGCTCCGTACGAAGCTCTATATGGTCAAAAGTGTAGAAGCCCATTATGCTGGAGTGACTTGGTAGATCAAGTGGTGTTAGGGCCAGATTACCTCCAAGACACCATGGAAAAAGTGAAGATGATTCAAGCAAGGATGAAAGCTGCACAAGATCGTCAGAAGTCTTATGCAGACTTGGGAAGGAAGCCAGTCGAATTCGACGCGGGAGAGAAAGTCCTACTCAGAGTCTCCCCGACCAAAGGAGTAATGAGATTTGGAAAGAAGGGAAAGCTAAGCCCGAGGTTCATTGGCCCATATGATATCCTCGAGCGAGTGGGAAGAGTGACATATCGTCTAGCTCTACCCACCGAATTGGCTAAGGTATAACATGCTATAACCGCTCGTTAGTAAATACCTTAGTAAATATCTCTTAAATACTAAAGTGTGTATTATGCGTAGGTACACAACGTTTTCCATATCTCCCAATTGAAGAAGTATGTCCGCGACGAATCCCATATTCTTAGCCCCGAGGTACGAATCGTAACCTTATGATAGTTGGGATCAAAGTATCACATCTAACCTCGACTTTCTTAGGTGGTCGAGTTGGATGAATCGTTGACTTACGAAGAGAGGCCGATCCAAATTTTGGACACTAAGACTCGTGAGACTAGAAGAAAAACGGTTAGGATGGTGAAGGTGTTGTGGTCTAACCACTTTGCCGAAAATGCCACCTGGGAGACTGAGGAAGATATGCGCAAACGCTACCCAGAGTTATTTGATTAAGGTAAAACTTTAGTTACGAGGGCGTAACCTCTCTTTAAGAGGGGTAGAATGTAATACTTAAGAATTTGGTTATTTGATTTTAATTAATGTTTCGGGACGAAACACCTTTTAAGGAGGGTAGAATGTGACACTCTAAAAATTTAAATAATTTTTTTTTATTAGTCGGATAAAATGTTAAGAAAGTCGAACAAAATTTAACATTTGTGACATGTTTAATCTAATAAAAATGATCCGATAATAGAAGTAACGTTTTATATCAAGTATCAATTATACATACGGTATAAGTAATAAAGGTTACTTTTTATAACTATTTTAAGTTGTGTATAAAATACATAAAATACAAACTTGATTTTTCTAAAAATACTTCTAATACGTAAAAAAAAACTTACGTAATAGTAATAAAAATATAAAAGACTCCAAGTAATACATTACAGATTTGCACAAACATACCATCACACTTATACTACGTATTTAACTAAAACTATAATGATTAGCACATGAGTACACTTTATAGTATTAAGAAAATTAAAAGCTGCTGCAAAACCCACGTACACAAAGTTATTCTTGAACCTGCAACTTACGGATAAGACCTACGGTTGAACAAATTCTGCGCGGATTAAGCTAATCGGATGGATGAAACCCTAAACATTAGAGACCTAGAACCTTCGACTTATAAGTATAAATAGAAGCCTTGCGATCAAGCTACGCTGCACAAACCCCTCGACCTACAACCTGTGTTGCAGGGAGAAAACGAGAGAAAAGAAAATGAGAATAAGAGAAAAGAAAGAAATATAGAAACGTGAGAGAGAGAGAGGGTGAACGTTTGGAAGAAGAAAGGCCAAACGTGGAGTGTCGGAGTTCGCCAGAGAAGGAAGAACACTGCAGGTCTCTGTCGGACGTTGTCGTTGGAGGAAACCGCTGGGCAGTACTCACTGTTCTACGCAGCCGCACCGGATCTCCAGTCTCGTCGCCAGTACAATCTTGCAACGCCAAGTGAGGTACGTTATTAATTGTCTCGACGATTACGTAAAGAAGGCGGCCGTATCAATGTCTTAATACGTTAGAACATAACTGGGTTTATAATTGGTAATAATAATAACAAACATTTAAAGTTCGGACGTTTCCTTCTTGCTGATATTGGACCGTGCGACAGAAGTAATAATAATTTGTTAATAAGAATAGCACTGCTAATGTTAATAAGGTTAATAATAAACTAAACTAAAAATCAGACCAATTATTAGTATGTATTACGTGGACGTACTATTGAAATTGGATTATAACAAATAGTGAACGGACTAAATTATCATTCATGCACTGAGTTCAAAACGGAATGGTGAAACCAGATTAATTTGAATAACAAATGGATAATAATAATAAAATAAAATGGAGGGATTGTTAGTTATAAAACCAATGGCGATCTCTCGAGGTAGACGACGTTCGGAAATTGAACAATAATCAATAACAATTTGAGAAAAGACGACGTTCGAGGAAGGAGACGTTCGTCCCTACGAGGTAGAAGACGTTCGTCCCTACCGACGTTCGTCCTTAAATTAATGGTTGTTTAGCTTTTGCGACGTTCGTCCTCTCCGACGTTCGTCCTCACTAATATTATGAGTAGAGTAAATTAATGGCTGAATTAAAAATACAAAATGTGATTAATTCGAATAATTAATTAATAAAATTAATTAATAAGTTCGAATAATAAAATAAAAAGGAAAAAAAATTATTATTGGAATATAATAAGTGATTAATTATACCATCTTAATTAAAAGGTGAATATTTAGAGGCCGGAACAGAAGAAGAGAGATAAGAGCATCGGATTAGAGGTAAGTTCCATGTCAACCAAAATGCATTTTATCTCGTATTATATGTATGAATATGTATTTGTGCTATTTGACTATTTGTTGAGTGATTTATGAATAAGTTATGCTTTTGCTATGTTGCACTGTTGAATAACTTTGGGGGAAGTTACGTGAGTAGTAAACCCCTGTAATTTTTTTAGAAATTAATAAAGATGAAATGATCCTTTTTAATGTTAGGGCATCACGGGAGAAATCCGGGGTGTCGGTGTCCTCCACGACCTTGACTGTGGAGAGGGATTAGGGCTGCTATTACTTGTTACTCATAAAGAATTGTTATATCGGTGTCCACGACCATGACTGTGGAGAATGGTTATATCTTAGATTCGGGCAAAAGACCCTGTTATTCAGTAGTAGCAGTAACCTAGTCACTTATATATGGTAATCCCTTTTTGGTGGAGTAGGGGGACGTTGACGTCCGAACTACTTGGACTTCTTACTACCCGTAGGGCTTGGAATCCCTTTCAGGGGGTGTGCACACTTAAGGTAGATGTTCAGTTTCCTCAGGTTAGAAGTGGTACCGGCGAAAGTCCCGGGGTGGCCGTACATAACAACGGACCATCGGGCTCAATAAAATGTTGAGTACCGCCCTTCAAATTTACTAAGAGTTTAATATAAATTACCTTTTTAAAGACATTGTTCGAGTATTAGAAAATTGTTTTATGAAAAGAAAGTGCGTATCATAAGTTTTACACCATGAATTTAACGATTAAAAGAAAAACTCTTTTTTTCGTATATATATATACTATAAATATATTATTTTCACCAAACCTATTATTTTACGGGGTTGGGTGGGGCTTACTTAGCATAAGCTAATTTTCGTGTTATTTTTTTTTTTTATTTTCCTATGTTACAGATGATGTGATATATGAAGATTGATGCCTTGAGAGCGCCCCTAGAAGACTTTTAGAGTAGTCTCATTATGAATAAACTTTATTAAATTTCATTATTTCAAATGTCAAATTTAATATTTACTTTAGATACATTTATGGTGGTTAGCCTTAGCATCCAGCCAGTTGAGGGCTGGGTGTGGCGGTAACACGCCCCTTTTCCTTGTTATTGTTATTTCCGCTGCAAACAATTGAAAGTTTCGAATAAATAATAAACATTTATTATTTCTTTAAGTATTATTTTGGGAGGGAAATTTGGGGATGTTACATTGGTTGTCCTGGTATGCTTTGACTTGTCGTCGATAGTTTTCTGCTTTGATGAAGGCACGGTCTCTTCTTTCCTCGATGAGGTGGAGCTCGGCTCGGGGCCTCTCCTCATTAGTGGCTGGTTCGAACTCTTCCACTCGTCGGCTGGGGACTACGGCCTCGAACGGTGCTCTTGCCTCAAGGCCATAACACAAGGTGAAGGGGGTCTCTTCGGTTGCCTTCCTTGGGGTTGTTCTGAAGGTCCAGAGTATAGTGTTCAACTCCTCCACCCAGGCAGTCCCGAGGGCCTCCGACTTCTTTTGCAATCTATCGACGATTGTCCGATTAGTGTTCTCCACCTGTCCATTTGCCTGAGGGTAGCAGACCGCAACCCGGCTGGATTCTGTGCCCCACTCTGCGCAGAACTGCCGGAAAGCTTTACACTCAAACTGCCTTCCGTGGTCGGAGATTATTTGGAGGGGAACCCCAAACCGGCAAAAAATATTCTTCCATATGAACTTCTTACATTGGAGATGCGTGATGCTGGAGAGCGGCTCGACCTCAACCTACTTCGTAAAGTAGTCCACTGCGACGATGACAAACTTTCAGTTGGCCGACCCGGTTGGCAAGGGACCGACCAGGTCGACGCCCCATCTTCTGAATGGAAGGGCGGTGCTGATCGGTGTGTACATAGTTGCTGGCCGGCCGAGACTCTTCTGAAACTTTTGACATGTCTCACATCTCCTTGCATAGTCGGCACAATCCTTCATTATTGTCGGCCAAAATACCCTTAGAGGACGACCTTCCTAGCTATCGTGCATGCTCCCTGGTGTGTGGAGCACACTCCCCCATGGAGCTCAGAGACGATCATGTCCGCCTCGTGTGGGCGCAAACACTTTAGTTAGGTCCCATTGTAGGACCTCTTGTACAGCTTCCCGTCCAAGACGACGTAGCTCGGAGCTCGTCGCAGGACTAGCCTTGCCTCCTCTTCTCTATCGGGGAGCGTCCCGTCGGCTATGTAGCGCAGGAGGTCATCCACCCAGCACCAGGTGACCGGTTGCACGGGAAGGACCTTGAGGGACAGTGAGGCTGCTATGCTTGAGGTCATCATCTCCTCAATGCGCGCGATTCTCGATATGTGTTCAGGCAGCCCCTGGGATAGCTTCAAGAGGAGGTCAACGTCCGAGTTTTGATTCCTCGGGACGCAGATCAACTCTGCTTGTTTAAACAGCCCGAGCAACTCCCGAATAGCATTCCGGTACTTCATCATTCTTTCTTCCTTCGCTTCGAACTCACCTTTTACCTGTGAAACGACCAGCCGGGAGTCACATTTCACCGTTATCAACTCTGCTCCCATGGCGGCTGCTAGCCGTAGCCCGGACAGCAGGGCCTCATACTCCACTTCATTGTTGGAGATTTTGAAAAGATAGCGGTAGGCGTAGTAGACCCGGAATCCCTCAGGTGAGATGAGGACGATTTCGCCCCCGCATCCCTTTGCTCCGGCCGACCGTCAGTCGCTAGAGTCCACCACTGCTCGTTGCTCTCCTGTTGCTTCTCCGTCACCTCTCGGGTTGTGCACTCCACGATGAAATCAGCCAATGCTTGACCTTTGATGGACGTCCGAGGCTGGAAGTCAACCTCATACTGGTTGAGGAGCATCGACCACTTCACCACCCGGGTTATGCCAGGCACCCTCAGGGCGGCACCCAAAGGTTGGTGCGATAGGATTCGGATTGGGTGTGCCTGGAAGTAGTGTGTCAACTTCTTGGCAGTGATGTAGGCGGCATATATCGTCTTCTCGAGCGGGGTGTACCGGAGCTCAGCATTCTGGAGGGTCTTGCTTACATAGTAGACGGGATGTTGAACGCCTTCCTCCTCGCGAACCAGCACGGAACTGATTGCGCCTTGGGAGACTCCGAGATAAAGGATCAGCGTCTCTCCCCTCTCCGGCTTGCTGAGTAAAGGCTCAGAGAGGAGGTACTTCTTCAAGTCTAATAGTCCCAAAACTTAACAATCAAACAATTATAAGCAGTGAAGAAGAAGCAGATAGAAAGATATCGAGATAATCAACGCCTTTGGTATACCGTGTAAACTGGCCGCTGCTCTCCCTGGAGAAGGAGAGCAACGGCAAACCCTAATCTCTCTATCTCTGCGCCTCTATTCTCTAAAGCCTCGATTCTTAGGGTTCTCGTAAGTTAGCCTCCCTTTATAGAAGTTGGCTAACTTACGGGTTACAAGGAAGCTAATGGGCTGATACACATTTGTGGCCCGTATTACACGTTTAATTAATAACTACACAAATACAAAGATATTTAATTAGATTGGACACCATAAAATATTCCCAACAAAGTCCTCAAAGTTGATTACCGCCAGACAAAAGTTGTCTATGCCAGGCATTAGTATTCTGGGCCAATTAACTACTTTGTGTCTTAAAGCTAGACAAAATTTGTCTGTGCCAGACATTTGTAGCCTGGGCCAATTTAATACTTTCTGTCTCACAGCCAAACAAATATTGTTTTTGTCAGACATTAGTAGTCTGGGCCACATTACATGTGTATGCCAAACAGACAGACAAAATATGTCGGGATTAGACAATTACCTTATGTGCCACAGTTGTTTGAGCCAAACTGACAGACAATAGTTGTCTCTGCCAGACAAATTGGCTCTGTCTCACATATGTTATTTGTAACATACATGTGCTCTGACTACGTGTTGTGTATTAATCATAGGTATTCACTTCAAGATGACGAATGGCTTGGTGTCATGTACGATGAACGCCATAGGTGGGTTCCTTGTTACTTGAAACCTACATTCTGGGCGGGTATGTCAACAACTCAACGAAGTGAGAGCATGAACGTTTTCTTCGATGGATTTGTGCACTCCAAAACAAGTCTTAAACAATTTGTGTAGCAGTATGGTTGTTCCTTAAAATGTAAGGCTGAAAAAGAGTTCCAAGCGAACGCTAATTCATTTACGAAAATGATACCATGTGTGACATCTTTGCAATGGAGAAACAAATGCAAGGAATATACACATTAGCGAAGTTCAAGGAGTTTCAAGAAGAAGTGGTTAACAACAAAAATTACAGACGACTTTTACAAAACTGTTTATTTCATAGTGGAATTTGACTCGGGATTGTTCGCATGCAAATGTAGTTGTCATTTGTTTGAATTTAGAGGCATAGTTTGTAGGCATATGTTTATGGTTCTACACATGGAGACAAGATTTAAAACGCCCTTACACACGAGACAAAATTAACTATGATGGGTGGATCACAGCCGTGGAACAACAATGGTATGACAAGTTGTGTAAGACTTTTGAAGCTCTTGCAAATGTCATTGTCGATGATGAGGAGACGTATAAGAGCGTTATGCAATGGATGCAAGACCAGTTGCATGAGTGTACAATGCATTTACAAATTATTCCGTTTGTGGTGTGATAACACAACTTCCCCAAATGCATCCAAGTGTGAATGGGGAGCAACCGGGTCCAATTCAAGACTCGGAAATCACAAAAAGGAAGGGTGCACCTAGGAAAAACCGCATAAAGGATCCTCTTGAAAAATCAAAGAAGAAACAAAAGGTTACGACATTTTTAATTAACTATAGTGTTTGTTGTTAATTTTTTCTAATGTGAATGTCTTGCATTGTTTACAGGCGGTTTCAAAACCAAAAAAACCTAGGAAGGAGCCTTGTGGAGTGCAATAAGTGAAGTCTCAAATGAAATTTATGATTTGACCGTATTAACGCACTCCGTGAATGATAAGAGGTTGAATTTGAACCTCCGATTATTGTGAATTACCATTGTATGTAGTTTGGATTGAACAATTAGTTGGAATGTGCAATTACTTGTTATGTTAAAAATAATGTATTTGTGTTATGGTATATATCTTTCATAGCTAGACAATTTCAGTCAGCGAGACAGACAAAACATATACCTTCAAAGACAATACACATACACATCCAAGCAACTATGTCATACACATACAGATAAATTGCATATGCAGACAGACAATACGTAATTTAATACACACAAAACTATACAAAAATGTACAACTACATATCCAATTGCAACATTTCTAAAGTTTGCAACAATACAAAAACAAACTTAGGGCTTGTTTACTAATAGAGATATTTTCCGGATTTCTATTTCTGTTTTTCGTTCTCCAATTTTCTGTTTTCATTTTCCAATTTTTCTATATCCATTTTTTTGTTTTCATTTTTTAGTTTTCCATTTTCAAATATGAAAACATATTTATACAATTTTTTCACCCGGTTCTCTAACCGAAAAAAAGACCGAAAGTACGATCCCAGTCCGGAACCGAACCTAGTACAACCCAACTCCCAAGTAGGGTACTGGGTCCCACATATAGGAAAGTCGGGACCGAAATCGGCTGGTCCCGGTTGATCTCAACAGTTAGTTTGATAAATTCTTTTCCCATTTTCCTATTGGTTGACAACTCAATGGTTCTTTTAAAACTCTTCACTTTAAAAAATGATTTCGAAAAACCGAGACTGAACCGTCGAGTCATTGACCGACCTTGAAAAGGACCGCCGG